AGACCCAGCGCGGGAGGCCGAAAGCCGGCCGCAGGAGGCTGCCCCGGAGCGCGGAGCCTGGGAAAGCCGGGGCGCCCGCCGGGGCTGAGTCCGTGGCCCCCTGCGGGCTGGACCGGGCGACCTCTTAGCCACTGAGCAAAGCAAGGCTGGTCCCAGCGGAGCCCCTCGGAAAGAGGGGTTGTCCAGGCCCACCTCTCGCGGAGAGGGAAAGTGAGGTCCCGGAAGCCGAGGGTTTGCAGTTTTCGTTTGTTTCTCCCAAGACGGGGCTCTTGCAGGTCAGAGGGCATCTCCAGGGCTGGGATCGTAGCCTGCCAGAGACCGAGCGGGTCGAAAACAAATTCCTAGACGGAAGCAAAGGCAGATCTTCCAAGACAGTCACACTGGTCATCGCCTAGGGCTTCTCCCTTAAGCGAGACCTGGGATGTCTGTGTCCCTTAATTCCATCTCGGTTATTCCCTCCTCCCGGGATGCACTTTCCTCAACTCAGAGAATCCTAGTGAATTCTGGTTCCGTTTCTGTCCCAGATGCCGACAGCTGTTCACACTTCGGATCATGCAAGCCTTGACGGGTTTCCACAGCAGGGCTTGTCCCACCTGTGCAGCCCTAAAGGCGGCAGGCTTCTCACCGCGTCACCCTGTGGATGAAACCATGCGAGCTAGTCCTTGCAAGTTCTTGGAAAAGAGTTTCTTGTTTGTGAATCATCAAGAAATAGTGACCAGTCAGATAGCAGATAGCAAAATGACAAACCGGCGTGAGTGCTAGGAATCTAACGGTGCCCTAACTTCAGAAAAGTTCCTAACCAGCAGGGATTTCTTTAGTGTTTGGGGAGCTGATTAGGTAGCGTTCTGAGAAACAGATTGCTGTGAAACCCTCCAAACCGCTGTGCTGTTGCCACTTCTTGACAGTCTCATTTTCGACTCTGGAGCTGCGTGGTTGTCTTAGCAAACACACTTGTTCCAAGTTTAGGTTGTGTTGTCTGAGACACACTTCTGTTTCAAGCTCGGTGGAATTATTAATTCTGTCTTACATTCTTGGGTAGCCTTAATGGGCAGTTAAGGCTGTACTGAGGTACCTCCTGGGTTTGGGGAACAGTGCAGAGTCTAGGCTGAAACAGGATAAAGTTGTCTCCATGCTGTGCCTTACACTCAGTCCTCCTGGAGTGCTTAGTCCAGCAGTGGTCCTCGGACGCATGCAGCCTTTCATAGTGTAGGGGCTGCGTTTCTGTTGATGTGGGGCAGGTATGGGAATTAATTAAGTCAGTCAGGTGCTTCTAATTCCCATCTAGAATTGCAAATCACCAGCTTAAAGGATAGAGAAGCTCAGCTAGTTTCTAGTATTCTTGGAGAAATTACGTGGTAGCCCCTTAGTTTGAGTTATTTAGAGTTGCTACCTTATTAGATATGTTGGTAGCATGTCACATGGGCAAGTGTCTTTCTGAATAACCTCATTACCTTGAGCATCTCCGTTGACTGAAAAAATAGAAATTATTATGCAAAAGGTCTAAAGGAGTAGAGCCTTTCCTCACCTGCATTAACAAGTAGTCGAGTTCAGTAGGCCCTCTACCATCTGTCCTGTCCTGGTGAACCTGAAGTGTTTACAGGCCAAGAAATAAAAAGAAAAATGTATATATTTTTAAAGAAAAAGAGCCAATGGTATGAAGTTACGATCTAAAAGTGTTAAAAGTATCGTGTTAAATATAATATTCCTGAAGAAAAATTAATGAGTTTAGTTTGGAGAAAATCCTTGAATTAAAAACCAGGGATGTTTTTTGTCCTTAATCTTCTCATGCTGTCCATCTGAGGGCGGAGGTTCTGTGTGGGGGTTGAGTTTCTTTTAAGAAGAATTGTTTTATTTGGATCTGAATTCTGAAATTTCAGAAGCCGAACTCCAAGGCCAGCCACAGGCCGGCCATGTACTACTTGTGGTTCTCACCATGGAAGTCTTCTGAAGCTTCCTCTCGTGGCCTGAGTGGGCATGCACCATGCAGCTCTGTGGGTGTGAGCGCGTGGCTCCAGAGGGGCCACGGAGGCCTCGGGCCCTGTGGTAGAGGATGCCTGCCAGCCCCTGAACAGGAAGTCACCCTCCACGGTCCAGGGAGAGTGACTCCTACAAGATCTGATGGAAACTTTTGTTTTTTTATTTTTTGTCTTTTTGAGAGAGTCTCACTGTGCAGCTCAGACTGGCATTGAAATCGCTTTGTAGCCCAGGCTGGTGTCAAACTCCCAACGATCCTCCTGCCTCAGGCTCCTGAGTGCTGGGCTGACAGGCAAGTGCCACCATGCCTGGCAAAATGAGGATTTTGAAATGTATTGCTTGGTATTTATACTTATCAAAGAATGGCATTTATTTTTATTTTTTAAATAAATGACATTTAAAAAAACATTATGCAATACTGTTTCATAGCTCAGTACCACATTGTACCTTTCTAGATTGGAATGATAATCCTAGTTTTCCATCCAAAATCATTCACTTCTGATACATTCTTAGCAGACAAGCAGTTGAGCTGCTTTTTTATTCTCTCCATGTTTTTGTGTTGACTTGAAAGTGGCGAATGTGCGCCTTAGGTGCAGACTGTCCTGGGCTGGGTTCTGCTGACCCCGCTCCAGCTCGTGGTCCCCCGCCCAAGGAGAAGATAGAGATTAAAGACAGGCCCAGTTCTTACAATGGGAAGCTGAAGCGCGGGGAGTTGGAGCGAAAGCATAGCACCCGCACAGGTGGTTATTAATCGGTTGAATGGGTGATGCCTTGGAGAGAGCTAAGTGTCATAGATAAGAGAGAACCAAGAGGCAGGGATTAGATGAAGCAGCTCTGTGCAAGGCACAGGGCATTCGGAGGGTTAGACAGCACTGCCCTCAGCTGGGAGGAGGAGCTGTGTACAGTAAGAAGTAAAGGCGCGACCGCTAGTTCACGATTGTATAACAGGGTCTCGCCAGATTGTGTCATTGCTAGCAATGTGGGCGGGGGAGATGGCTTAGACTCTTGACTCTTCTGTGAAGTTCTCTCATTCCTTTAGTCACCGTGTGTTTATTCAAGGTCTTCCAGGTTCCAGGTTTGAGCAGGATGCTGAGGTCCCAGCCCTGGAGGAGCTTGCAAGTTTTTGGAGGAATGTTTATCAATATAGAACCAGATAACACAATTATAAACTGCTGTCCAGACAAGTCCAGCACACCAGTGAGGTGGTGTGAGATACTACCATTGGGAAGTACTTCTCTTTTGAAAAGTGTTTCTTTAAAGATTTCTCTCACCATCTTGGTGAGCTTTTTACTTCCTGATGTGTAAGTGGGGAAATCCATGTTATAGGGTGAAACAGCATTTTAAAAATGCAACTTTAAATTGTTGCCTACATCTGTGGATTCTTCATACTTGATGAGGAAAATGGTGCATACAGAAGGCAAGGGATGTGCTCAGGGGCAGCGTTTGTAACCCCGCAGCCATTGATAGCACTCCATTTTTCTCAATTTCTAAATGAAAATGCTAATACCTACACGTGGAAGCAAGGACTAACCAGAATTTAATCTTTTTCAGAAGCCAAGAAGAAAGCGCCCTGTCCTGGACTTGGCTTGTTTTACACATTACTGTCTGCCTTCCTTTTCTCAGTGGCCTCTTTATTTGTTAAAAAAATACAAGACGTCCATGCTGTAGAAATTAGTGCATTTCGATGTGTGTTCCAAATGCTAGTTATTATCCCTTGCTTAATATACAGAAAGTAAGTATTTCATAACTACAAAGTAGAAGTAATAAATGTGTGTAAATCTTTTGAACTGCCTTAATTATTTTTTCTACAGTATGCGCTTCGTCATCAATTTGTCAGTCTGTGTTCCTCAGCTGGATTAGTGAAATCTGCGAGGACCTGCCTACCCGCAGAAATTTCTCTTTAGGCGCATACCCCAGGCCTAGAGAAGACCAAGAAGGCGATACAGTTATCCTCGCCACCCCTTTTGATGACGAAGCTTTCCTTGTAGGATCCCCCACCCCTCCAGTTTGTACTCTGCTCCCTTCTTTCTTTCAGTGGCTGGTATTTGGAAGAACAAAGTGAAAGGAAGTAGTAGTCCGTCCTAGGGCTAGCGATGCCTTTTGGCTTGCAGCTCATCCCTTAGCAGGGTAGACAGGGATGATTACAGCAAGAGTTTGTCTTCTCCAGAAAGTGGTTGGCTGGCTTGGAGCAGTGTCCCTGGCTACTTTGATAGTCCCTTTCCTCCTCTGTAAGCCAGAAGGAATGCTGCTCTCTGTCCTGTGCCCAGCGAAGCTCTTCCGAGAGTCAAGTAAGACTTATTCTAGGTCAGAGTGCTTTGTGTAGAGCATAATAATAGAAGGACACACTCTTGCCCCATCTCATCCTTCTTTTCCTTCCCTGTAGAATCCTCTGGGGAGGTCTCAGCCTCCCCGGCCCTGGGATTACAGGCGTGCGCCACCATGCCCACTTTCGGTGGCTGGCACAACGGGCACAGCATGTGGTACTGGGGAATCAAACCCAGGTCCTTGTGCTTACCAGGCAGGTGCTTAGACCGCTGAGCTATTTCCATAGTCCCTGTCCCCAGGATTAAAACTATCCTTCCCCTTAATCTGTGTACATAATCATGTCATAATCACAATCTGTACACCCAGGTGTACCCAGAATCCTGTGATGGGAGCCACTTGGTTCTCTGCTGGCTCCTGGCTCATCCTGTCTCTGAGCAAAAGTGCTTAACTCTAAATGTAACGTGTCAGGGCAGCTCACTTGGGCCACCTCCTGACTCTTAGGCACTGTTCTTCTCATTCCTGTTCCTCAGTTAATTTTCTTACTCTTAAGAAAAGCTTCAGTGGCTTGCCCCCAAAGTCTCTTTGCACTTCCGGTCATTATGCAGATTCACTTAAAATAGTTTTAGTCCATATCCTGAGGAATTAGTGGAAAAGTAAAAATTACTAAGATTAGTGTTGTCAGAAATTCCTGTGTAAATGTAAAAGTCAGTGTTTTAAAACCTGAGGATTATATTTCAGAAATTTCTGAAGGTGACAGCACAATACTGAGGTAATGTCATCATCTTCTTCCTTTGGGAATAACATTGTCAAGGGAAGACACTTGAAGCATTTTCCTAAACCCTTGGCCCTCATCTGCTGTGAAGCATTTTATGTTTCATTACAGCAGACTCATGGCTTTTAAAATTATGGGCCAAAGTTGACCACATTTGCTTTTCTAACTCTAGATGTCCAGGAGCGTCCCTGTCACACCAGGTGGTACTGGAATGAACTGTGGTCCTAACACAGATCCGGTTGTTGCCTAGCCAGAATGTATGTAGAGAGTAGCTGTTTGGTAAATGTTGAATTGAAAAGGATAATAGTTACTATACTTCCCCAAACACTGCCTCTTTTTGAATGTGTCAGAATGTTTTCTTCATGGGAACAATAAAAAGTTGCTTCTTATTCAGTGGCTAAAATAAATCTTAGGGCTGGGGAGATGACTCAGTGGAATAAGCGCTTCCCTGGCAAGCGCAAGGGCCTGAGTTCAATCTCCAGTTCCGCAAAAAAAAAAAAAATAAATAAAATAAAATAAATCTTAGCATCGTGCCGAGCGTGGTGGCACACACCTGTCATTGTAGCACTTGGGAGGTCGAGGTAGAGGCATCGCTGTGAGTTTGAGGCCAACCTGGGCTCCATAGTGGGTTCAAGACCAGCTTTAACTATGTAAAAAATTCCTGTCTGAAAATCTGAAAAAAGTATATTTTAGCATTGCCTCAACTTTTGTCAATAACTCATGAGACGGGAAGAAAAACTAAAAAAATGAAATGAAGGAAAGAATGAAAGAAAAGAAAGAAACAAAACAAGCTCATAAAGTAGCCAGAGATATGGCCCAGCAGCGCAGCGCCTGACTGGCCAGTACAAGGTTGCCAACTGCAGTCCCAGTACCAAAGAAGGAAAAAAACCCATGAGTAGAAAATACACATTAGTCAGGAGCAATTCCTTCATACACTGTTGCTAAACCTGAAATTGAATTTATTATAAAAATAACATCTTCGTGGGGTATGTGGTGCACCCCTGTAGTCCCGGCACTCTGGAGGCTGGGCAGGAGGATTATTGTGAGTTTGAGGCCAGCCTGGGCTGTCATAAAGTATGTTCAAGGCCAGCTCGAACTGCATACTGAGACCCTGTCTCAAAAAAAGGAAAAAAAAAAAAAGTTTTCATTACAGAAAATTTGAGAAAATTACGTATCCACTTGTACAACTACTATAGATATATTTTTCTTTTTTGCAAGTGTATAAAGTATATACCTTTATAGGTAGATAAATATATGTACTGTTTTTTGGTCAATACTATTTGTGATATTCTGTGTGTTATTTTTACTTCTATTGTGAACACTTTAAGTATCAGCTATATTTAGAACATAGTTTTTTTTAGAGGGTATATATGTAATCATGGTAGATATTGTAATTACTACTCCCTTATTTTTTATATTTGATATTTTTGAAGTGTTTTGTTAAACATTTTGATTTAAAAACATACCAAGTTGATTTACTGCGCATTTCTTCGTTTGAATTTGCAGAACTGGGTTTATAGGCCCCAAAGGTCAACGGCGTTTCCTCATTCTCAGAGGATTCCTTGGTTCTTCTGCCATGATCCTTATATACTATGCTTTCCAGACCACGTCCCTCGCAGACGCCACAGTTATCTCCTTTAGCTGCCCCGTGTTCACGTCTCTGTTTGCTTGGATATTTCTCAAGGAAAAGTATTCCCTCTGGGATGCTTTGTTCACCTTGTTCACAATCACTGGAGTGACCCTTATCGTGCGACCACCATTCTTGTTTGGGTCCAACACTGCGGGGACGGAAGGAAGCTACTCAGCCCACCTTCAGGGAACGTTGGCAGCCATCGGACATGCCGTGTTCGCTGCACTGACTCTAGTTATCCTGAGGAAAATGGGAAAATCTGTGGACTACTTTCTGAGCATTTGGTACTATGTCATACTCGGCCTGGCTGAGAGCGTCACCGTCCTCTTTATTCTAGGAGAGTGGAGCCTGCCCAAATGCGGGCTGGACAGGCTGTTTCTCATCCTCATCGGGCTCCTAGGTCTGGGGGGTCAGATATTTATCACAAAAGCAGTTCAGATAGAGAAAGCAGGACCCGTAGCCATGGTAAAAACAATGGATGTGGTCTTTGCTTTTATTTTTCAGATTATTTTCTTTAACGATATCCCGACCTGGTGGACCGTGGGCGGCGCTCTTTGCGTAGTAGCCAGCAGTACTGGAGCGGTTATTCGCAAATGGCTCCAGAGCTCCAAGTGAACACGCGTCGTTGCTGACACCTAGATTTTTTTAACATCTCGTCAGCCACACACATGGAAAATCTGCATTTATTCACTGATTATACTTAATAAATTTTATAAATAAATACCATTTTTGAATATGGTATGTTTTCAATTAAGAGTAGCTAGTAGGGTGTAGCAAGTGTTTTGTTAGCTTTTGATTTTGTTTGTTTTGTTAGTGTGGCACTGGTAAGAGGAGAAAGCTTGTTATCTGAAGAAAAACAAAAAAATTTGATGACTAATATATAATTTTTAAATATATTTTTGGTACAGATGGGAGATGGGTTGCAGACTCTCTTACTGTAAGGAGCCTAAGAAACTTATGCTGCTATAATTAGTGTTACATTAATTCATTTGCAACATAATTCTTCTAGGATACCAAAGCTGAAGTTTGGTATAGGTGCCTACTTAACTGGTGTTAATACAAATGAATCGCCTTATTGTCAAGGGTTGCATAAATGATTATCACACTTTTAACTCATACCTGTGCCTTTTCGTTTTAATGCTGGGACTTCTGTATGTGACTTCTAAACAGTATCTTTAAGTTGCCAAACTTGGTGACTAGTTTTCTGGCCCAGCAGCAGGAGCAGCTGGCTATCATTTATAATTGTAGTTGTCCTCTATTTTATGGGTAATTTAAAATTTCAAGATTTCCAAGTTTCAAGTCACAAGACAGAAATCGTGGCCAGACCATGGTGCACATTTCCATCTTGAGGTATTTTCTCCTCACTTGAGATGTGATTTTCTATAAATTCTCTTTGCTTTATAGTATGATGCCAAATAAAATCTTCTCAGGATCTTGTTAGCTTGAACATTATCGATATAAGATTACAAAGATCTGACCGTTTTAACTGCTAAAACCCTAAGTTTCATAAGGGTCACCCTAGTAGATACCACCCTTTGTTGCTAAACCCAACACTCAGAGGATTTTTGACTATATATTTTTAAAATAATTTTTGAAGTACAATTCTATTTTACTTCCTAGTCTTTTTTCCTCTATGGAATTATTTGCAAAGATGGTTAGGTTAAACATTAAAGATATATCAATATGCAGTTGATTGACTTCAGAGTTTGTTACATAGGAAAAAGAAAGCCATAGACCTCGCAGCGCTGCGTCGTCAAGGCAGCCCTGCTGTGCGTGCTGCATGTGGCGTCGCCTGCCCGTACTCTGCAGCCCAGTGAGGTTAACGTTGAGGAAGGGTGGGAGGCCGGTGAGGGCACAGGAAGTGCCTGTCGCACCTGTCACGCACCGTGAGCCCTCCCGCTGGGGAGACCGGCACCTTGAGGTGCGAGCGGAGAGCTTTGGGCTGCTTCCCGCCCCCTCACCATGGTTCTTCCAAAGTAAGGAGCTTTCTTCTAGGGTTAGCGCCTTGGTGAGAAAGTTTGGTGTTTTCTTTTTTTTTTTTGCGGAACAAGAGATTGAACTCAGGCCTGTGTGCTTTCCAGGCAAGTATTCCACTGAGCTAGATCCTTGACCCCGAGACAGGTTCTTTGCCAGTAGTTCCAACAGGGAACTTTGTTTTTATTTATTTATTTTTTTATTTTAAAGAGAAAAAATTTCAAAGCAAATAGGAGGGTACAAGGTATAGGCATTTAATTGTTCCAACGATATTAGCACAGACCCCAAAGGGGAACTTTAAGCATGCTGATTTTAACTGATGCTTTTAGGGTGACATTTCCTAAAGGAAGTCTGTTGAGGTGAGCTATCTCAATCACATGGGTAACGGTGCTGGAATTTATAGACTTGGAAAAGCATTGTTTTGCAAATACACCATGATAGGATCAGCATTTTAGAGCTCACAGGCAGTTAGAAATCTTTTAGGAGCTCTGCTCCCTAGATACAAACGACAGGAAACCTGCGGAAGGTGGATTTGCAGGGCCTTCTGCCTTTGTGCCCTCTTAGATTACGGAAGGAGAGCCAGCCTGGGCTGCCTGAGGTGGGTCCACTGTCCAACCTCCTATCCTAATAAAAGAACTTCAGATCTCAAAAGTTAAATTCCTTTGGCCCCATGAACTAGAGACGTGCTTTATTTCTACACCGTGGCTTAACTACTTGAATATCATCACAACGCATGGCTAAAGTTAGAAGACGTTCCTTCCAGCTTTCACAGGTTATGGTTCTGAAACAATGTCGAAGATTATATATTGTAATGCTTATGAGTGTTTATTTTGTAAAGGTTGGAGTTGCTATATCTTCCAAAGGAAATATTTTCATAACTTGTTTTTATTAGTAATAAAATCATATGAAAGAAAGCTACATGTTGGTTTTTATGAGTAGAAAATATCCAACAGAACTCACTTCCCTTTTGAACCATGTGCTTTAAAATTTATTTTCTGCAGGAGATTGAGCTCTCGCCACTTAGCTGGGATGTAATCTGAAATTTCAAGCTGTTTGTTTTTTTCTTACACTCATAACAATTAACATCTCCAACATAAAGACACTAATCTGTTCAGTGAAGCCTTCATTCTACGCCATCAAGCCCGTTAGCAGCTCTGAGTTTTCCTTTTCATTCTTGGACAGTCTGCTCCTAAGTTCCCGAGTGCCGTACTGTTCAGTCAGTTTTCCTCACTCTTCCGTGGTTGCCCTCTTGCTGCCTTCCCCCTGGTTTACAGCAGCGGCCTTCTAGGTGTAGTACACACTGCTACACTCTGTTCTGTTAATAACAGTGATCTCAAAGCCCCATGAAGTTATGTCATGTCTTACTACACAGGACATCGCAGTTGTTTATCTGGCCCTCCTCGCACTTCTCCACTCCATGTCAGCCTAAACTTGGTGCTTGAATCAGTCATCACGCCAACTCCCATACTGGCCAGTGAAGGCCTTTCTCCGCACTGCCCCTGCTCTTTCTCACCTCTTACCTGCCTTGTGAAGTTCCCAGCAGCCTAGCTGGGCCCATCGTTTTACTTCCGCCTCCAGCTTCTCACCCACTTACCTGCCTTGGAGGAGTGGGTGAGGCACTGGGTTAGGAGTTGGAAGAGCTGAATATGATTCTGTTACTGTACAGCTAGGTACTCAACATAGCTGCTTTTCCTCACATAAAACATTATTTTTGACATCCCCTAAGTGAGTGTCCTAGACCTGTAGGCCAAACATAAAAGTGTCAAATACTGAAATGTGATTAGCGCTGCAGAGTTGAATATTCATGAAAAATGCCTACCAGCGTGGTCCTCGTTCCTAGGACCTAGGTCCCCACGCTCCCTGTCTCTCGGGAGGTAGACTTCACCTAGCTCCTTCTCCCTCACAGAATCTGTTGCTGGGAGCTGTCCTGTCATGGGTGATCTGCCTTAGAAGATCTCTTATTTTACGCAGCTCCTGCCGTCTGTTTCACTGTAGGTCCTATGCTTGGCTTTCAGGAGGGAGTAGGCCTGATTCTGTGTTCCTAATGCACTACTTAAGCGTTCAGTACTCTGCTGCACGACTCTTTAGGGTCTTTTCTGTTCGCCCACTAAGCATAATGAGTGGACTGATGATCTGGTGGTAAGACAGTTCTTTGATAGCAGCCTGGCCTGTCATGTAGGTCTGTACGGCTCTGTGATCAGTGGTGGGCATTGGAATCTGGTTATTATGGTGTCCTTTGGACATGGAAAGCCTGATTACCATCCTAAGGATTCTTTTTTGGTTTGTTTTTTGGTGGAACCAGGGATTGAACTCAGGCCCTTGCGCTTGCCAGGGAAGCGCTTATTCCACTGAGCCATCTCCCCTGCGTAAGGATTCTTTTTTGGGGTTGTGCCTTACTGCAAACCTAACAGCAACCATGTTAACCTAGAATTTTCCGAGATATGTTACCAGGGATTCCCTGTGATACACAAAGAGCCGTCCAAGTTTTAATCTAATTAAATATGACATTTGGAGGTGGTCTTGGACACTTCACAGAGAGCCCTGGAACCTTGGCACTGCCAGTCGCCTCCTGGAAATTGAGGGTGGATGGGCTGGAGCTTTGTAGTGGAGGGTGAAGAGCAGATGTACCAAACCAAGGCAGGGGCCATAATTCCACTGCAGCCCAAGCTTCAGGAAGGGGACCCTACTTGGTCTTTGCTCCTGCATTTTTATAACTTTGGTAACCATCAAGATTAGTCCCAGGAGGCATAATCATTAAGCAAAAGAAGTGGCTCGTATTCCTGATGAGCTGCCAGAGTGGGGTTGAGAATGTATAAATCCACGTTTAAGCAGAGGTAGACCTAGGCAGGAAGACTGTTCAGGTGAACAGCACAGCGCCGAGGTGCCGGGCCGAGGTCGAGAGCACTGTGGTGTGTAAGCCGGAGAATGAAAGAGCAAAACAGAACGCACTGTTGCACAGCCTTGGGGTCTGTACCTGAGGGTATCGATGCCTGGCTGCTCTTACGAGTGTCCTGAGTATACCTGGGCATGATTTGAAGGTTAGTTCTACATGCCTAAAAAATTAGCAGAGAAATGAAAACTATGATATGACTATCTGGGATAGTCTCTGATTATAGCTGGTGTTACCATGTTATTAGAATTATATTCAAATTGGCAGTTCACAATAAAATAACCTTTTCTCTCTTGTGATGCTTCTTGGAACTCAGCCACATTGCTGTGGAAGCCGGGGCCACGTGGAGAAGTCCTCAAGGAGGAATAGAGCCAGTGGGCGCACTTGCACCCCAGCTGACAGCTCGTGCCAACTTGCCTGTCAAGAGAGCGTCCCTGTCGGGGGCAGACCCTCCGGCTCTTGGTGAGCAACCTCAGCGGGAGCAGTTTGAAATAAAGACAGCCTTCCCGCTCCTGAGCCTGCCCAAATTGTAGGTATGTTCCAAGTGTGCGTGTGTGTGTGTGTGTGTATGTGTGTGTGCGTGTGTGTGTGTGTGTGTGTGACAGACATGTTGTTTGAAAACATTAAAAATGTAAAAACCTTCTTAAATATGCATACATCCAGTTGCACATGACCACAACTGTGTAAAACCATGTACTTCAGCATCCAGTCAATAAAAGTAGTACAGTGTCATGGGCTTAGCCTGCGATAAAGCTGGAGAAAATTATATAGGGGATAAAATAATAAAGTTAGTCTTTTGGTTTTTGTTTGCTTTGCAGTACCAGGGATTGAACTTGGGGCCTAGCGCTTTCCAGGCGGGTGTTTATACCACTGAGAAAAATCCCCAGCTCTTAAAGTTGGTTTAAATAAATGATAGCCAGCATTTCAGGGTCTGGGACACTGCCCAACATCCACAAGTTAAAGATGTTTCATTTAGCTCACGGTGTGGGGAATCCAGTCCCAAGTGAGCTGACTCCAGGAGGCGCATCTGGCAGAAGGCCGCCGTGGAGCACTCATGGTGGCTGGGAAGCAGGGCGGAGGCCCGCGCTAGGGAGGAAGGTGCGAGGACCGTCTAGCTGTACGTTCCACGGTCATGTTCCGCGGCCCACCCAGACACCCAGAGCATGCATACTGATGTGCTTGGCATTGCTTAATCCAGTGAAGTTGATACATCATATTAATGGGCACCCTTGACTGTTCATGGACTGTGGCCTGGGACTTCTGGAAGGCCTCAAGACCCTTTCAGGATTTACAGCGTCCAAAGTATTTTAATAGCATGACTGAGTGTGTCATAGTCTGTTCCATGAACAGCTTTAATGCGTATACAGTAGTCTTCCAGAGGATATAAGACGTGATATTGCAACAGATTAGACAGAGGCATTCAGCTGTCGTCTACGACTGCACCATGCATATGTTTTTCTTTTTATTTGGTCTTTTTTTTTGGCAGAATTGGGGGTTGAACTCAGGTCCTTGAGCTTGCCAGGGAAGTGCTTTTCTACTGAGCCATCTCTCTGGCCCCTTTAATTGGTCTTTTTGAGACAGGGTCTCCCTATGCAGTTCAGGC